AAAAAAAAAAAAAAAGATTCTTTTATTCTTTATTTTTGCTGTGGAGCAGAAGCTGCAGACTCCTACCAAGCCTGAGCTGCCATTCCATTGTTTTGCAGCTCACCTTGCAGGCACTGCAGAAAAGTGTACTATGAAAAGATGGGAAAGGAGGACAGCTTTACGGAAGGGTAAGTCATATGTATGAAATGCAATGTTAAAAGCAGCCTGGAGGAATGTGTGCAAGACACAGAGAGATGATTGCTGGTAAAGCTGGCTATTTTTTGAGCCATGAGTGACAGCAATAGTATAAACTGAAATTGATAGGGTGCACATGTAGATGGGGACAATGGAAATGAGCCTGGAAGTGTGAAAACGGGGAGGGTGTCAATGAAAGGATCAATGCCTGAAAGTGTGTGTAAACAGGGTGGAGGGCAGAGAGGGCAGCCACACTGTGTGTTGGAGCGAAAGGAGCCTGGAGGTGGGCTGTGAATGCTGAGAGGACGCCTGCTGCTTTATCCATCTTTAATTAGTTTCCAAAAGAGTGATTTCCCTTACCTTCTGCAAGTATAGGACTGTTCCCTTCAGCACAGCATAAAAGGTTTTCCAGCCTCGCTTCCCCCGGGGGGCTGCAAAAAAACCAAATGAAAACCCATTTAACTCGGATCCATTTTTACACTTTGTCTAGGCAACAAGAGAGCTACATTAGTCCTGTGTTAAGCCTCCTTTGTACTCTCCTTTTCAAAGGACAATGCAACTCCCTACAGTGCCTGCACATACCTTGCTGTGTGAGAGAGTAATAAAACAAGCCTGACGAAAGCCCTGGAGTGGGTCAGAAGGAAACAGCAGCAGTGTAGAAAGCAGGCCAAAAAGATCCAGTCTTCATGCTCTTGCAGGTAGGTGGATACTGCCCCTACATAGCTAGGTCTGAGCTCCGCACTGTGCCAGTTTTTAGAAGGAAACACCCTTTCTCCATGCCACAGAAGGCTGGCAGGCACTGCTCTGAACCAATGGGACTCTGCTCAGAAAGCAGTGCCTCCCAAGAGCACTTGCCTCTCCATGCCACTGCTGCACGCCAAGTTGGCACTGAGCAGTCAGATGGCTTGCTGGTCCCTTCTGCTCTTCCTGCATCCACAGGGAAAGCCAAAGAACAGAATGGAGAAGGAAGTCAAACAAAATCCTACCAAAAAATGCAACCCAAACCACCCCTCAAGAAACCTGAATTCAGTTAAGAGACTGAAGTATGTAACAAAGTCAACATAACCAGCCCACAAATTCCCAAAAACAA